GGACTTTCTAGCTTGGAATCCACCCATGGTTTACTTTCCTGAGGCCTGAGAAAACACAGAAATCAGATTTTGTCTAAGAAAAAGAGAGGGAAGAGAAAAAATAAAAAAAGAAAGACAGGAAGGAGGGATGGAGTTATGAAAAAGTTCATATTGCCAATTGAACTATTTGAATTCTTTAGGATACCACTTTTCCAAGAATTAGCATTGAAAAAAGACTTACACTGGCAGTTATTAAGCACTTTTGAAAATCTATTGAAAACTATAAGCTTTCCATATAATGTTTAAGGACACATTCTCCATTGTTCCTAAATTAATACCCTGGATTAAATCATGAAGCACCTGTGATTAACTTGAAATCAAGAAAGATGGTTTTCATTCAAATAGTTCAATTGGCAATATGAACTTTTTCATAAGTCCATCCCTCCTTCCTGTCTTTCTTTTTTTATTTTTTCTCTTCCCTCTCTTTTTCTTAGACAAAATCTGATGTCTGTGTTTTCTCAGGCCTCAGGAAAGTAAACCATGGGTGGATTCCAAGCTAGAAAGTCCTGGACAGGATTCTGCCTAGATCCCTTTCCCAGGAGAGCATTGCTTTCTGCTGTTCAGCTCCCAGCAGCCCAATTTCTCACAGTCTAAGTCCATACTTCAGAAGTCCAGCTGGTATCAGGTGCCAGGGAATCTTATCTGCCCAGGATGTGTACACTGTGTGTCAATCAATGCCTCCCTATTTAACTCAGGTATTATATATGACCTAAAACAGAGAGAAAAGGGGGCGGGACTTGGTTACTAAATCTTGAGATAATGTCTCTCTCCTGGTTGTGTGTGAAGAAATGTAATGTAGAGCCTCTTAATTTGATGACATTCCGAAGGCCTGGAGTCAGTCTTCTGAAAATCTCATTTGAGACTTCTAGGCACCCATTTGTGACTGCTGGGCACCCTCTGGTCCCCAGTCTGCCTGGAAAGCCTGGCCCAGAGGGTGAGAAGTCTCTGCATGGCTGACTATAATCTGCTATGTTTCCTTCCTCCACCCCAACACCCCTCCCCCATCATACTGAGATATGTTCAAGGGCTGTGGTGTCTGAGTCTGAGAGGAACTTTGGAGCAGGGAGATTTGATGGAAAACCAGGCTGTTCTTGTCCAGATCTTTAGACATTTATCTGGCGAAGGGTATAAAGTCTGGGGGTATCCAAAAGTCAGGATACTGGATTTAGATTTGGTTCACAGGACACACTCACACAGGTGAGCATGAGCTATTGACTTCAGATCCATGGTAGTTGCCCCCAATATCACTTCAGTTTGCTAACCTTGCTAGAAGTCATACTCGGAGCCTTTAAACCAGATGACTACAACCCAGATCCAGGAGATGAAATGGCTAACACAAAGCTCTCAAAGACTATCCAGCTCCCAGATGAACTCCAACAAAAGTATAAGTGGAGCTTGGGATCCCTCAGAAAGAAAGTTTTAAACTTCAGGAAGGTAATCACAATGATAATGATAATGATAGTAGTAGTAGTAGTAGCAGCAGCAGCAGCAGCAGCAGCATTAAAAACAGTACAATTTATTGAGAAAGAGGAAAAGCCAAAGAGAAAACTGTTAGTCAAGAGTAATAATCCCTACACTAAGAAGCCTTCAGTCCCTCCTGACAGGCTACAAAATTATCTACTCATGAGTCTCTGGCCTGGGAAACATTTACTCATTTACCACTCAATGAACCAACTACTTAGGGTGAGAACAGACCCAAACTGAGCTTGCCATGTATATTTATAGAAAACAAAGTGCTACCCATCTCTGTATATCTTCATCCAGCTCAGCAAGTATGCCTCTTTTTGACTCACCAAGATGAAAAACTTAAATTCATTTAAATAAATTATTGGATTAAGATAACCTCCCTGTCTCTCTTTTAAAACCCACCAAGCATTATTCTTCTGATAAAGGCAAAGTGGTAGGAAATGAGTTAGTCCTCTGACCAACATTTTTGACACACAACTGATGCTTTCCCCTACCCACTAACCCATCATTTCTGTTTCTCTTTCATATACAAGTAGTCAGTCAAATTTATTGCTTAGAAAGTTCCTTATTCTAGATGGTGAGGCTAGGTAATACAATACTGCTCCTTGAAGTACCATTCTCTGCCTTCTCCAATCCTCGCAGTCTCTTCCAGAGGCCTCCCTGTGGGAAATTAATAAGCTTAGGAAAGAGTTGCCACTGCCTGCTTTGTTGGCCTCCTCTTGTTTCCAGCGTGTTTTTCCTTTCACCATGAATTGCCATACTCTTGACAACCAAGCCTTTGCTGGTGTAGTGCTTTGAAAATAGGACTAGAGGGGGATAAACCAGGACCTATAAAGAAATAGAAAAACTGTGTTTTCATTCTTATAGGGTAATAATCTTTGAGTTATTCTTAGAGATGTCACCTACCTCCTATCACAGAAATTTAGATATTTTGGGTCTCATCTCTCCACCCTGGGAGGAGAGAGGGCACTGCCATTCTAATACTCTCTAAGAATCAGATTTCCCTTTTTACTCTTTCTCCACCCTATCACTTAGGTCATAAAAAGCACCACGGCAGGAATCATTCATCAACCTCTCTCCAGCCATCTCTTCCAAAACAGCACTGCAGTTGTCTACACGTGTATTTTTACCATGACTGCAAGGAGCCTTGCTGAAGTGAAGCATGGTGAGCATACCCACTCTTCGTTGTCATTTTTCTAATTGTTTATTTGGAAATAAAATCTCGGAGAAAGAGCTCCAAATATATGCATAAACCCATTGTTCCGTGTGAATTACATAAGACTACATTGAGGTACATTTTTATAGTACTGTCTGAGGCTGAATAAATGCTTCCACCCTTCATTTAGTATCAGTGAATTCCAGTAAGTAATAATACAGAGTGATTTTGAAGTAGTTTATGCACCATTTTAGCCTGTAAATTTCTAGAGAAACAGAAATAATTTATAGGTTTTCTTTATCTCTTATTAATGATTGTCATTTAGACCATTCATATTACCAAGCAAAATGTGTACAACTTAAAATACTGGAATTTCAAGTTAATCTTACTCATACTTGTTTTAATGTTATGTCAGTTACTTAATCCATAAGAAAAAGAGTTGTTTGGATTAATGAAATGTAAGAAATTCTTTTATTTAGGGATCTTTACCTGAAAGCAGAGGGAAAATCAAATTAGAGGGCAAATAAAACATCTGATGGCCAGATTCTCAATAAATCTCTCAAAACTCTGATGTAAAGAATTGTAGCTATTTTCTATCTTAAGCTTTGGAAGGTAAAGCTTCCATCCCCAACTTAATTACCAGAAACATTATTTCATACAAACAAGTCAAGGTTAGAGTACCTCAAAGGAGACACAGCCTAAGTGTTTTCTGTATTTAAGAAGAGAAAGGCCATGCACAAGAAAAATGCCTTCCACTTAGAGTTTGTTTTCTAAATGCATACATTCTGGAGTGGATGCTTTTATATTTACAATATGTAAAGGTATTTTTTTAAGTGACTTGCATGGCTAAATAACTTTTCCTGGGAAAGAGAAACTTCCTATTCTCTAAACAACAGCAAAAGAAGGCACTAAGGATTATTCTGTTCAACAGCTTAATGGAATTAAATTCCAGAACACCATCCTCCCCCCTCCCCAGTGCACACAATTATATGTACCAGGCTGTAGTTTCTAAGGGACCACAACTCTCTTACAGCTACTTCTCTATCTTAACTTGCTGTTGCTTATATTTGTGCCTTTCCTGTTCTTGGTTTTCCTTCTGTCTTCTTCTCTGAATTCACTTAAGTATATGTGGTCACTGTTTTTCAACCCTGAGGGTTATTTTCAGATGTTTGAGATAATTCTTTCAAAATTTCTAATTCCTCCACCCTTCCTTTAAAGAAGTGGCTAGGGAAAATGCTTTCCTTGGTGTGCATGCCTCTGTGTTTGTGTGTGTGTGTGTGTGTGTGTGTGAGAGAGAGAGAGAGAGAGAGAGAGAGAGAGAGAGAGAGAGAGAGAGAAATGAATCTGGTATTAAATGGAGCAGCCAGTCATAAGACAATTGGTGGCTAAATACAGCTGCAAAATCTTATATATGAATATGTGACACGTGAGACGACTCATTGCACTGACCCTTGGCCATTAGGAGTCATCCTTGGCCAAACCTTAATTTAAAACCACACATAGTTTCATAAGAGAAGTGACATCCTAAGATGAAAGAAAAATGCAGTTCAAGAAGCTTCCTTTGAAAAGTAGTAGTGAGCCTGGAAATTAGGGGAGAATTTCTCCCTTTTTCCCAACATATGAGTCTTTCACAGCCCTTCCTTCCTGAGTCCCAGCTTTAATCCTAGTCAGTGGCTCTGTGTGATTGGAAGGATTCAGAACTTGTGTGGGGGACTGATCAGAGAAGGGAAAGGGGGGGGGGTGGGAGGGAGAGAGAGAGAAGAGAGAGAGAGAGAGAGAGAGAGAGAGAGCCAAAGAGAATCCACTTAGAGAGAAATTACCCGCCCTTCTTTATTTCTCCTTGCAAACACTTTCCCAGGCCTCCTTGGACTATAGGCAACCGCAAAGAAAGGCGTTCAGTGCCTCCCTGCCCCACTGGGTTTAGAGAGGTTTTAGAGCTTTAAGAGGATCAAACCAACACAGTAACCTGCTCTTTGCCAATCCCCAATATACTCACCTTATTTCAACAGCGGGAAAAAACCGAGTTTTTCTCTTCCTCAAGTCGTGGTTCTGCCTCGTCCGCTTTAGTCGGCTACACAATCCGATTTATCCTAAAGCTGACCGATTGCCCACTTCAATGTAGTTGCGATGTGGGTGGGGCTGAGGGAGTTAAGGGAACGTCTACACCACTCAAAGACCTTTCTTCCCTTAGGAGTAGAGAGTTGGACAGCGAAAAAGAACCAGCGACTTTGTGTTGCGGCCCCTGCTGAAGGAGTCAACTTTCAGGCTGTGAAAAGACCTCAAGGCACTGGCATCAGCTGCTGCACTGAAGGGGCGAGCCAGCGCCTCTAAGTGGCTTAGCGCGCAAACGAGGCTCCCGAGACGGCCTCGGCAACTCCATCACTGCTCCACCACCGGCTGGCCGTGAAAAGCTCCCCGGAGCCCATCTCGGTAATAATTTCTACTTTGAATCACCCTTCCCCCCTCCCTGAGGTCTTAGAGTACCGGCTGCCCGCATTATGTGGTTCCCCACCCATCACCCCGGACTACGCAGATCGTCCCATGCGGAGGATGAAGGAGCAGGAACAGCTTGAGTCCAGTAAACAGGGCTCTTTCCACCACCACCACCCCCAGCCCAAGAACCCGTGTCCTGGGACCCCATAGGTCCCCGTCGGAGGTCTGCTGGCGTGCCTACTCTATCACCTTACCCCATCTCCTGGGCCACGGGAAGGCTGAGCCAAGTTCTTTCCCAAGCGCATCCTCTCTGAATTTTGCACGGAGGGATTTGGTAGTGTGAGCGCTGCTGAAGAGAGCTGGCGGCTGTTTATCACCCCCAGGCAAAGAGCTGCGCAAATCAGCGGCGGCTCAATGGCCAGAGAATCCCTCAGGGCTAATCCGCACCCCTCTCCCCTCACACAACTCAGACTCTGGGGAAATGCGCGCGGCGTCCGCGCGCGGGGTGTCCACTTCTCCGTCCTAGGTTCTCCAAGTGCTTAACGAAACGAGAACAGGCCCTCTCCGGTCCTTTTGGTACCTTCCTCTCCGATCCCGAAACTGATTTTCCCCTCCTAGAAGTCCCATAGGGCCCAAGCGTTAGGAGGCGGGCCGGGCCGCTCTCAGAGAGGCGGCACCACTCCCGAAAGGCGCTGAGGATCTGCGGGCGCGGCAGGCCAGGGAGAAGGCTGAAAGGCAGGCGGCGCCGCGGGGAGCGCCCGGCCCAGCAAAGAGTTAACGGGAGGGGACGTGGGCTGTCACGCGTCATTGGGCAGATTATGTGCAGCAAACAAAAAGTGTGTGTCTGCGTGCCAGTCAGTCACTGCATCGGGTCCATCTGTACAACTCTCTCCGTTTCTCTCTCTCTCTCTCTCTCTCTCTCTCTCCACCCCTCCTCTCCTCTCCTCTCCTCTCACTCTCTCTCCTCTCACTCTCTCATCTATCTCTTCCCATCTTTACATCTCTTTCCTCTCTTTAGGCAGAGCCTACAAACAGCAACACCAACACCTCTTGACATGGAAATACACTGCCACTGATACAATAGGCAAAAAGAAATACTCAATTGCATCTTCCCGGTTGCAGGTGGCCTTATTTGGGAGACTCAATCGTGACCTTATTCTTGGTAAGTCTATTTGCATTGATATGGGAGGGGGATGGGAGGAAGGCAGGTTTGGGGGGAAACGTGGAAAATTTTGTCTTCATCTCCTCATTATCCATTAGAGAGGAGAAAATAATTGTTGGGGGCATCTGCACTGCCAATAAGATTATACAAAGGGAGGAGCGGGAGAGGAACACTTCTCCGGAGAAGCTGGGGACCAGGGAGCGCGCGGCCGCCAGACAATGCCTGCCTAGAGGGGAGGGCGAGCGGCCGGCAGCCGGCAGCAGCGACGGGCTTTCAGCGAGCTCCGTCGGCTCCGGGGAGGATCCCCGGGCAGATGAGAACCCGGGCCCAGAGCAAGACGCAGAGCAGTGAAAGGCTGGATGGCAAAGACGACCGCGCACGGGCAGGCGAGCCGAGGCTCTTGCCCAGCGGTTATTGTGACCGGCTTGAGGCTCGTGGCGGCCGCCGTGGCGACGCAGACTGCTATTAGCGCGGCGTAGCGAGGTCCTTTTCACCGTATTGTTAGGTAGAACTGCATTTTAATGACTACGTCCCTGCTGTTGCCCGAAGTGACGGGGCGACCTCCCGGCACAATGAAACGCTTGTGTGAAAGAGACTTTTAAAAGGAAGAGAAAAATTGGGCATAAAACACTGAATTGGAAGAAATTGAAAAGGGAAGAATAGGATTCCCTTGAAAAGGAGATGAGTGGTTCTGGGTTTTTGTATTTTTTCGTTTTTTGTTTTGTTTTGTTTTAAAATGTATCTTAATTTGCAATTGGAAATGATGAAGACTACTGTGGGAGACAAAAATGCCTAGGGATAGATAGTATAGCATAATAAAGTTTCTACTTTATGGATATTTCCCCTTATTTCTGCTGTCTGGCAGTTACAGCCCAACACTTGACATTTGGGGGATCCAGGAGAATGAATGAAAACAAGAGGCTGACCAAAGTTTCAGGCTGTTGGCTGAAAAGAAAAAAAAAAGCATTACCTTATAATCACATTTGTAAGATTAATTGGTTAGTAGACGTTAAGATAAAAATGGATGTTGCTAATATTATTCCATGATGAACAGCTTTGCAGGAAAGAATTAGTTCTACTTTTTCCTGCTACTTAAATTATACAAAACATACATTTACTGACAGTGGTAAGATTACTAGGGAAAAACCAACTTGGATAAGTTTTTTTATCAGTTAGAGAGAGTAAATAATATAGCTAGTTCAAAGCTTGTTTAAAATTTTAAATACCTGTTTTGTTTTCTCAAACGATGTCATGTAGGGGGTGTCCAGTGGCAGAGGAAGGGAAAAGTCCCTTTATGACAGCTTAATAGAGATCCCTCCATTGGGGCATTACTTTCTAAATTGCTGCGGATTAAACAGCTGGAGGGCCCACTGAGGACTACTCAAGCAGGGCTGCCCCCTCTTGCTCAAACAGGGTCATATATAGGGGAGCAAGAATTCATCAGTCATTACACTTGGTATTTCAGACAGGGGACACTTCAGGCTTGCCCTGTACCTGTTCACTACATACGCCACATGCAACTCAATCCACCCCCTTGTATAACAAGGTAACTGGGATTCACCTTCATCCATAAATAAGCATGTGGAGAAAAAAAATAATTACCTCTGCTTGCTGCTTTTAATTAAAGCCTCAGAGGGACAGTGTTGGATTATGGTAGTGAGCATACATACGTCCCTTCTTGTAGGCTGCAGAGAAAGGTTAGCTGACACGGAATTAGTGGCCCTGACACTCCACTTGAAATCCATTCGCCATGCTCCACTGTCTCCGCCTGTTCACTAATGCTACTCCCCTCTTTGGAAGGGAAAAAAAAAAATCAGCTCCCAGGCACCCAGTTCAATACAGAGGAGGAGAAGCGCTTTCTCCCAAGGGTTAGAAGTTTCTTATAGAAAAGTCTGTTTTTTTAAAAATATGGCATTATTCTCTTCCCACCTTCACCCCAAAAGCCTACCCCATCCAATACCAAGGTAATCCAAAGTAATGTAGTCTTTCCTAGCCCTTTCTTTTCTTTCACCCAGTCAGTTCCCACTATTCCTATTATTATTTTCTTTTAGAAAAAAAAAGTACCTCTTAGTTGGCATCTTTAAAATACACCAGTCTGCTTTATTTTTGAAATAAGAGCTATGTAAAAATCAGGCAAGTTCAAGAACAGTCTGTCCAGTAGTTGAAATGTTCTGCCTGGGTTCACAGCAGTAAAGGCAGTAATGTAACTTGCTTCCTTGTCCTGTGTGTCTGTCTCCAGTGATGGAAGATTCGGGCATCCAGCGAGGCATCTGGGATGGAGATGCCAAGGCTGTCCAACAATGTCTGACAGATATTTTTACCAGTGTTTACACCACCTGCGACATCCCTGAGAATGCTATATTTGGTCCCTGTGTCCTGAGCCATACTTCCCTGTATGACAGCATAGCTTTCATAGCTCTCAAGTCTACTGACAAGAGAACAGTACCTTACATCTTCCGGGTAAGTCTTGGCTGGTGCTGTGTAGGCATATGAGGGTAATATCCTGTTGAAAATGGACTAAGAATCATTCTAATGACAAGTGAAGACAGGTTTTGAATATAGAAAATGCAATAAATCAAACAATCTTGTTTTGCATACCAAAAATTAGAAAAGGAAAATTATTTAAACTCAAATTATTGTCAACTGGTTTTCTGGAATAAATGACAAAATTTGATTTGGAATGCCAGAAATGTCAAAATCAGTGCCTCAGTTCTGGATTGTCCTAGTGATGAATATGACTTCCTAAACTCTTTGGGAGATTTCACTGGGGCTGAGACTATTTGCATACTAAGTTCTCTCTGTAAGTACTTTGACAAGTACTGGGTACATTTGCCTTCCAACCTAGGAGGCATCCTTATCCCCTAAATATTACTTTGTTTGGTAACATCAGCTAGTGCCCAGAGTTTGTATTTAAATAAACATGTTGATGATTTTGACAGTAAAACATTAAATCCATATGTTAGAGTTTGGAGATAAAAGGCTTCTCACTTGCTGTTCTTTCTTCACCAAGAAAAGCTATTAATTGTTTGTTTAAGCCAAAATTAGGAAGATGAGTTCCACAGAATAGTTTCTAAGATCTAAGCTTGTTTTTTACTTCCGAAATAAACAAAATTCCCTATATTTTTGTAATGTGGGATAATTTAGAAGTAAATTCCCAAGAGGTTAAAACTAATTTAAACTGTAAGAAGAAATTTCCTCATTTGGTGCTCAACCATTATATTAAAACGATGACTTAAATAATGTCTGTGATTGATGTAAAATTTCAAAGGATGGTTATCTTGCCTGCTGTTTACAAACATGAGGCCGCGTCCCAACTTGGATCAAGTTTTTGGAAGCTCGATCTCAGATAACTCTTTGGAAAAGACTAGCATAGAGGAAATGTTCCTGGTTCCTCTGGTTCACTCTCTCACATAGATCTCCCTCTCCCCTTCCTTCTTCTATTTTAAACTATAGGTAGACACCTCAGCGGCAAATGGCTCCTCAGAAGGTCTCATGTGGCTTCGGTTGGTCCAATCAGCCAGAGATAAAGAAGAGCAGAACCTCGAAGCCTATATCAAAAACGGACAGCTCTTTTACCGCTCTCTCCGCAGGATTGCCAAAGACGAGGAGTTACTAGTTTGGTACGGGAAAGAACTGACTGAGTTACTCTTGCTCTGCCCCTCTAGATCCCACAACAAAATGAATGGTAGGTTGGCTCGCGACCTGCGTGTGGGCCCTTCACTAGCTGGGAAGGGATGCAGAGAGTGGCGGGGGCTCACCCGGGCGCCTTGGCGCGCCTTTCTTCCCTTTGGGTGCCTCATAGGAAGCTTCTGAGATGTAGTCGGAATTAAGCTGGGACAGACAGGTGAGGATAAATCGGTGGGCGCTTGTCTTGATTACTGTATTCCCCCCAAATCAGGAGGGAAATTTAGCTCAGGTGGAACAATATATTCTTTTCTAGGGCACTCAGGCCCTGAGAATTTGTGAAGGGGATGGTGGCAAACCGGCCTGGGGCGATGCTGAGTAATCATGTGGTGTGTGTGCGTGTGCGTGTGTGTGTATGGTGTTTGCTCACTAAGCAGGGTCGTCCCCTTACACATGCCTGGAATGCAGCCAACGTTTCCAGTTTGAGTTCCCCTATGTGGCGCATCTGCGTTTCCGCTGCCCCAAGAGACTTCACAGCGCTGATCTCAGTCCCCAAGACGAGCAAGGCGGCGGCGTGGGCACCAAAGACCACGGGGGCGGCGGCGGCAAAGACCAGCAGCCGCAGCAGCAGCATCAGGAGGTGCCCTTGGGTCTGGGCCCCAAGTTCGGCAAAGCCGGCCCCATCCACCACTACCCGGCCGCCTCCCCCGAGAGCAACAACCCACCCGTCACCGCCGGCGGCAGCAGCGCGAAGCCATCCACGGACTTTCACAACCTGGCCCGCGAGCTGGAAAACTCCCGGGGAGGCAGCAGCTGTTCCCCAGCCCAGAGCCTCAGCAGCGGCGGCGGCCACCAGGAGGCGGAGCTGAGTCCCGACGGCATCGCCACCGGCGGCGGCAGAGGGAAGAGGAAATTCCCGGAGGAAGCGGCGGAGGGCGGCGGCGGCCCAGGGCTGCTGGGCGGCCGAGGCCGCTTCGCTGAGCGGCCCCTGCCGGCCTCCAAGGAGGACCTGGTGTGCACGCCGCAGCAGTACCGCGCCTCGGGCAGCTACTACAGCCTGGAAGAGAACGGCCGCCTCTTCGCGCCGCCCAGCCCCGAGACGGGAGAGGCGAAGCGCAGCGCCTTCGTGGAGGTGAAGAAGGCGGCCCGCGCGGCCGGCCTGCAGGAGGAAGCGACTGCCGACGGCCGGGATACCCTCTGTTC